TCGAACTCCCACCTGAGCAGCCTCAGCTGGAATCGCAGTGCTGCGCTTTAACCCTTTGTGCCACCAGAGAGGGCCCGTATCCTGTAATTGCTGCTTGCTTTACTTTCAGCTCTTTTTCACAGCCACCTTGTTCCTTATTTGTGTGGAGGATACTCCAGGGCTGTTTCAATTCCTAGGTGAACTCTTTGTGATTTGCTTGCCTGAAGGTTAGCTTCGCCTCCTGCCCCCAGGGGAGCAGGCACCCTCTGGGGAACCTGCGGGTCACCACTGGCAGGAGCCTGTGTGTGAGTATAACTGGGTTCACCCCAGGAACACTGTTCTACAATCAGAGCTTGCGCACTTGGGCACTCTCCCTGGCCAACGGAGAAATGAGGGCACGGAAATCAATGTTTCCCACGCTAAGCTGCCGGGAAGTCTTTACAGGCCCCTGGGGCTAGAGATGGCCAACACACAGGGGACCTCCACTCTGAGCCTGAGTAGACCCAGCCCACAAGACCGCCTGGAGGAAACACGCAGGCTGACCATAGATCTGAGGTGCACAGCACCCAGCAGAGGGAAGAGGGACCAAAACAGGGGAGGGAAGAGCACACGGGACTATGGTGATGGATCACTGGTGCTGTGGAGGGTTTGGGGGGAGGCGACAAGGACTACCCCTGAAGGGAGAAACCAAATACTGTGTAAAAATTAACAACGATGTAAATAAATCATTTAACTTTGGAAAGGCCAGAGAGCCTCTTTGTCTCCAGCGCGCCCCTATGCTTGCTTTCCTGAGTATGTACTCATTCATCGCCGCTACCATGTACCTATACATCAACCCTTCTCATTTTTTGACATGAGGAAGTTGCGCACATTATTCATGTTTATAACTCGCTGCTGCTCAATTTGTCCCCTTTGGCCAGTGATCTCAGAATGCTTTTTGACAAGGATTAAATTCCTTTTTTTAAGGACTGGACTTATTGATTAGCTATGACCACCCTAGACAATTTTCACAACAGATGCATTATTTATATGCCACTGCACATTTGTCAATATGATTATGCTTTGTTTTTCCGTCTAACTCAAATCTATTCCTTTGATTAATTTGCCAGATATGTTTAATTTTTCTTTCATACAGTCATGGAGGTAAACATTTAGGGTGGACTAAATATTTAACTGGACTCATAGTTTAGCACATTAATGCTTTTGATCACGTTCCTGCTTCTGGAACCTACAAGTTGCCAGAATCGCAAATGGGATCCAGGGTTGCCCTTCAGGAGAGGTGAACAAATCATTTCAATAGAATCAATACTGAGCTTGAAGTGTACATGTTGCTATAAAATAACAGGCAAACTGAGAGAGAGGAAGGGAGACTTGGAGGGACAGGACACTCAGAATGACTCCTATTGTGAGTAGCATCAACGGGGTGCAGGAACAGATACTGGGTGGTGGGACCTGCTGCCTCCTGTGTGCACGTCTTACAGCCTTAGTCGTGTGGCGCCACCAGGTGGACACTGCATGCAACAACCACTCTCAAGCCTACTTTGGCACCAAAGAGAGCAAGAGTCAAAAGAATGAAATAAACATAAAGGCCAACTAATACTCTACAGACAGTCACTTTCAGTGAGTATTTATAAATTATATGAGGTAGCCCACACAAATAGATTTTTGTTAGATGATTTTCCCTAACTATAGACTGATATGTATTCTGAGTATGCTTTGGCTAACCGAAGCACTAATGTTAGGTGGGTTATGAGTATTCAATGCATTGCAACTTAGGATGTTTCAGCTTACAATATAAGGGATATAATCCCATTGTAAGTTGCAGAAGAGCTGTACACAACATTGTGGAGGATCTAAGGCAGTGTCCTGTACCTACTGGATAGATTATCAAGCTAGAGGCAAAAATCGAAAACAAGAATGGAGAGATTTGTTTCCTGCAGATAAAAATTAGCAAGCGGGCAGCCCAGATCTGGAATGCTGGTCTAGGTTTTGAGGTACCCCAATTCCCTGGGGTCACCACTCTGATCAGCAGCACAAGGACAGGACCCAGCTGGAACCATCCACACTCCAGACAGTGGGATGGAAGAAAAGCTAGGAGGGGCAAACAAGACCCTCCAACCATCTCTTCAGAAGCATCCCTGCCCTGTCCATTCAGGGCAAGCCTTCTATTTGCATTTCACTGGCCAGTATCTAGTTACAACTGTGGGAATTCAGTCTTTCTTTTTCGTGGCCATGTGTTCAGCTAAAATGCTATAGAAAAGGACAGGAAAAATAGCTGGGGCGGGGGGGGGTAGAGATTCAGTAGCTTCCTATGTTCTAGAATCTAGAAGTTAGAAACTGAACAGAAGGAAGAAGTAATAAGCTCTGCCCATCAGTACCCCCTGTAATACCCACTCACTCAAGCAGTATGGAGAGGCTAAGACAAAAGAGATGAGAAACAAACCCCTGCACAATGGACTCCCGGCTCAAGGATCTGCCTTTCCAAGGGTTCTATCCACATCACTGCCCTCGGTACACTAACGTGTGAATTAACATTAACAAGCCATGGCAGGTGACTTGGTGTTTAGACAGTCTCCACTTAACGCTACAAGAGTCTGGAATGCTAAGGCAGCTGGTCTGGATTGCTGCATAGAAGGGAAGAAACAATAGAAGTAGAAGTAGTCACCTTTTACAGTTGCTTTTCCAATTTGTGTCCCATCAAATGGGTGATATTCCCCTAAAAATGCTTAAAAATCAAGGAATATTCTACTGAAAGTAAAAACTCCATTACACGGTGCAAAATACATACAGAGGTGTTCTTATCACCATCTATATCCTATCCTCTCTCTCTCTCTCTCTTTCCCTCGCACACACACACTTCCTTTTCCATTAATTTTAAAATCCACAGATTCCATCCTCTCCTGCAGCAAGTAAGTTTCAGTTTCTGCCACCAGGTGGCAGGAATCATCAGCATCAAGAAGCTTCTCATGGAACCAGAAAAAGTCAGGATTCTGAAGGTCATAATAGTGTTGGAGACAAGGGTTGCCTGACGAGTACAGGGATGTGACCTGTCTGGCATGTTGCTAGGGACCCTGATGATCAGTCCCTTCTGTTACATGCCTCCTGTTTTTCCACAACTCATGCTGTGTTTATTGCTAAATTTATATTAAAGAAAACTTGACCACTTCATGAAAGAAAAAATGAGTCCTTAAATCCCCATCAGCCAACTTCAGCAATCTGTCATCTTTCCATACACACATGCACACACACTATTTCTATACCAACTACCAATGATACTGGTACATTGCTAGATTAGTTACTGCAAAATTAAAATCACTACGGTTCCTTAATTCAACAAATAATTAATAGTTAGCTATGTGCAAAGGAAAAAAACTGAAGTGAGATATAATAGACTACAACACAAAATGGTCACGTGGCAATCAAACTTTTATGCACAAATCATGTGCACATGGGAAAGTAGATTTAGTCATGTTCAAAGACTCTTATGTTTCAATGCCATCCAAATTAGAATTAAAATTTTATCTAGATCCATGGTGCCAACTGATGTTTGTTTTTTTTTTTTTTGAGTTCGGAGTTCTTGGGTTTACTCTGGGAAAAGTTTCACCAGAGCTCCCTTTCAGCCGCACGTGGCAAGATTCTCCATGAGACAGACTCAGTTAGATTTAAAGAGTAAGTTTATTAGAAAGAGACAGGAGAGGAAAAGACACTTGCATAGGCGCAAGTGGGCAGGATGAGCTGCTCTGGAAGAGACAGGTTTGCAGAGAGAGAGAGCTGCATGGTTGCAGGCAGGCAGCCTTAGGAAAGCGGCCTCCCCTGAGGGGGCTCAGTGCAGAGAAGTCCCGGCATGGTACAGTCATGGGCAAGCAGGAGGCTGCTGCCCTGCGGAGGGAGAGAGCGGGTGGAAAGAAGCACCTGCATGGGCACAGGTGGGCAGAGGATGGCTGCCCCAAGCTGGTGGAGAGACTGCCCAGATACAGACAGCTTCTCTTTTGGAGGGGCTCACTCTTTGTGAGCCTAGATAGGACTTGAGAGGGCAGGAGATTTCCTGATGAGCTTCATCTCCATGTCCTTAGCTTTTACCTTTTGGATCCAAGCTTCAGGCACAGCCCCCAACAGTCTGTTATCTGCTGGGACCTCTTGCAGACATCCAGGCATCCTGGACACCCTGGACATTGGACATTTTGGACCTTGATTTTATGGCTGTTGTCAGTTGCTTCACTAGCCCCTTCTAAATATCCCCTTTGTGCGACTCAATCTTATGATGCTTTCTCTGCATTCCTTCCTCCATCACCAACCAGAGGCAGAAAGTTAATATTAAAGTCAGACACCTGTTCCTTTTTCAAAGACCAGGTCACAGTCAAAAGAGTAAGGAGGGGCATGAGTACAGATCTGTGTGAGGCATTATCTACAAGTTGCCTTACTTGAGGTGAGGTAGTATATAACAAGGCAAAGTAGGATAAAATGGAAGAAAATGTTGGACATCCCTCCACCCCCCCCAGCCCCACCCCACCCCCCCACACACACACACACAAAGAGCAATGAACCAGGCATTTGTCATATCTGGAAACAACAATGATGGGGTCAGAACTTCTCTCCAACCTCAAACCTGCAAGTGAAGTCAGCGGCCTCACAAAAGAGGCATTTTCTATATGCTCACTTCTACCAGAGATTACACTAAGCCAAACAAAACACACTTAAGCTCTCAAAAACCCAACATCTAAGAAATGTGTGCCTTACTGTTACACATTGTTTTGTTTTTTACGTCAAATGACAGCAATAGGTCCCAGGTTCTCTATTCCTCAAGGTTGGACCAGTCTGAGCTTTTCTGCCAGAACAAAATAAAACCAGAATGTCTGTTTCTTCATGAGCCAAGATTCTCTGGCTCCTTTAGTTATTTGCCTCATCTAAACACTCATCTACCACGTCCCAGCTTTGAAAACTCGTCCAGTTATCGCTCATTGAAAGAACATATGCTTTATGACGCTAAATTTTTACTTTTGCAATCTGTACTTTTTCCTTAGAATGAAGACGACTTCCGTGACAACCAGAACACATCAGTCAACAACTCGCTAAGGAGCAGGGTTGGGCTGACAAAGAAAGAGCAAGTTAACTCCAAACAGGTATGGTTGGAGAGCATGGTGAATCTGTTACCATGGTAACCGCTGTGCAACAAGCACGAGAGAGCTAAGGAACTGAAAGCAGGGCACTCAGCTGGCACTCAGAAGAATGAATTAAATGGTAATTAGAGTGTGTAAGGCAGCGTCATGAAGAAAACACACACCACCAAACAAAGAGATTTTGTTTATTCACCTGTTCTCATAGTTCCCTGCTGGGGAGAGTAACTGCTTCCTGTATCCTAAGGCACAGAATTCTGAACTACACAAAGCATTTCAATTGTAAAGTAAAGGAGGCAGAGCAGAGGAAGATTCTTTCATATAGGTATATGTTATGTATAATTATATCTTCTGCTTTAGAGAGAAATTTTTTCATTAATCATAAATATTTCTTACAATTGATTTCTTTCCCTGTTGCCCACTTCTTTTAAAGGGTAGTGTCCTCTAACAATTTCCTCATTTAATTAACTTTACATTCCTTAAGTCATGTATTCACAGAGCCTACTGAGCTCTTTCCTATGTAGATTTACTTTCATCTCTCACTTTTATTTATTTATTTTTTATTATTATTTTATTATTTATTTATTTATTTATTACACTATATTTTCTGAAATCACACTGGAAAAAGAACGTTAGCTATAGGGAAAGAGGAATAAAAAGTTCTGAGGAAAGACCACACTGTTTAGGGCTTGAGACTGGGGATGTGAAAGGAAGGAATATCATATTTATAAACATGCTCTTCATTTTGTTTACATAAATCTCTTTCTTTTTTTAATTGAGGTAACACTGGTTTGCAACACTGGGTGTTATTCAGCGATATAGGATCTCCCCTCTTCAGATCTGTGGACCCCACCACACCTGGCAAACTAGTCCATGGAGCTGCTCCGCCTTTTGTTTGCACATTTTCCCTCTCCCTCTGATAGTCTCAGGTTTGCCATCAGATTTCTAGGCTTTGGTTTGGGATTGCTTTTTTCTGCCTTTCTTTGTTTCTTTACATTCCACATGACTAGCTTTTTTCAGTTCCTGAAGATGCTGAACTGGTGTTCTCATCTGTAGGCCAAGCCCTGGGTTGCCAGGAAATAAAATCACCCTTGGTTTCAGTCCTTTGGAAACTAGGGCTGGTAGAGTATAAAGGAGATTTATGCAACTGCTGCTATTAACTTCATTTAGTACAGAGTGGAGGCTGAATGATTATAGTAGAGGCAGATTCAAAAAGCAGAGGCTTGAGTCTGTTCCCTAAAGAAAAGGAGAAAATAGCTCCTTTGGAAGTAAAGAGAGGGATTTTTTTGTGTGAGAGGGCAAAAAATGTTTTGTGAAAGATAATAGATGTCATCTTCTTATAATAATAATTTAAAAGGACCCTTTGGAAGTTTTTTGCCAAAAGTCTGAACAATGGAGATCAGGGTCCATTGTACCCAGAATTGCCATATTCCATTTCTGCTGCAATGTTTCATTTCCAGGGCGAAGAGCAAGTCACCATTGAGCAGGATTCTAGAAATAAAGAAGCCACAGAGGATGATCCAGAAACACATCAAGATGGGTAAAGGCCTAAACCAAAGAAACAACCATACCTACCTCCGAGTTTGTTTTACTGCTTGGTTTTATCCTCACCTAATTTTAAACATTATGACATTAGAGATTGTTACCACCATGAACACCTCTTTCTGGCTACCCACCAAACACCATTTCAGAAAAGTTAAAGGAACTCTAGGATGACCCACCTGGTAAACTCAAATTGTTGATTCATAGGGACCCAACATCCAAGACAGCCTCCTAACTAAAGGTACACATTTTCAACTAATTGCTCCAGTCCACACAAAAGTAAATTCATCTTCTTGACATCAACTGAAAAGCAATTGACTTCTCCAAATCCAATCCACCTTAAATTCCAACAATTGGCTCTCACCTATATTATTGTAAAGGTCATTCAAGTTCTAATTGATTCATATGGTACAGGAAGCAAATTTTTATCTTTATCTGAGGGATCAGGAAAATGAAGCTCAGAGAACTGACTCACCAAAGGTTATTTAGCTAGAGAACAAAGCTAGCTTACAATTTCAGCTTCTGTTTCATAGTCTAAGCTTGTCTGGTACACCATCATAATACTAAACTGTCAGTTTTTTGAAGTCTTATATTTGATTTTAACGTTTACATCTCTAAGGAACTTTGTTTTTCTATATTAAAATATATATCTAGAGTTGGTAGGATTAGGATTAAAATCTCCTGTCACATATCCACCATCAAGAATATTTACTCCCTTGAAAGCCCAAGGTCATTTCCATCCTACATTTTACTTTCTGAAACTTTGACCTGAGAGCTAAGAGTTTTACTAAAAGGGTGAGAGATGCTGAGACTTCTGAGATTAAAAATCGGATAAATACAACCTAAAGTAAATGGATGTACCCAAAAAAATGGCAACCCCCACTGCTGCTTTTTAACATTATATCTCTATATCCATCAGCTTTTCTTTCCTAAATTCAGTGATGAAAACCTGTATCTTTAGTCCCTCAATATCTTCTAGAGCAAAGTTTCTAATCTCAGTTCACATGTTCACACCCACTCATAACATGAGTTTCACAAAATGGTAGCTTACACTATGTGTGGGACACTGTTCCTTTTTAAAGAGAGGGTCTTATGCACTGTGTGACTTCACCATCCACTAATGGGCCCCAAACCACAGTTGTAAGACTGAACCAGAGAAGCAATATACACTGTATTTCTGAGAACTTTTTTTTTCTGTGTCTCTATAACCCCCTTGCAAAGATGAATCCAAGTCATGACACTCCCATTTCTATTTGTGGGATACCGATCTCATGAATTTGCTTGCCTGCTGATTTTACAAAGCACCAGCTAATCTTAGCACTTGAACATTTATTTCATGTGCTAAATAACAAAAATCCAACTTCGTCATTTTTAAAGATCTAGTGGGCTTTATTAAATAATTATAAATCTGGTAGCATTTTGTCTTGCAAGTAGAAGAGAACTCCAGGAAGGTGAACAAAATGAAAGGTTTTTATAGGCAGAAAGAAGGCAAAATAAAGGAAGAGGGAGTTATTTCTGGCTTAGATAAAGTACCCATAAAGAATGGAGAGACAGGTTTTATGACAGATTATCTCACCTTCCCTTGGGGAATGGAAAGCTTCACTAGTACTTGGCTAGAAAATTCCATACTGACTAGTTAGATGACATTCCTTAGGGAAGTTGAAAGGGCAGTTATGTTAATACTAAGTCTTGGTGGGCTTCCTACAAGCTCCTCAACTTTGGGATGGCGGTTTCTATTTTACACATCGTTGGTGTTTACACCTGCCTGCCTTTTTGTTTTTATATCATTACAGGTATCTGGAAAGGAAGTGTGGTCCTGTTTGTGATTTTTTTAAGAAACACAAAACCACCCTTCAGTACATCTTCTGGGGTATTTTACTAGCAGGTAAATAACAGTAATGGATGCAATACCCATGTTCCTTTTTGAGCATTTCCCAAATACTGGTTTTCTTTGGAAAGAAAATAAATCTGCTGGATGTCACTGAATCATTCCATCAGAGAAGCAAGTCAGAGGCCTCTGAGTTGAGGCCTCAGCTTGGGATGTCTACACAGGTCTTCACTGTCCATTTTACCTGCCAGCAGCTCATGTTTTAAGGTCTCCTGCTCTCACAGCTTTTGTTATTGTGATCTGGATTTGGAGGTTGGAAAATTGAAAATCTAAATAATCAAAAAGCATGGTGATAATCTCAAAATAAGAACTTAATCTCTGGAGCAACATAAGCATTAATACTTGTGCAGCTAAAGAATAGACTTGGGTTACGTAGCCCGCTCCTCCTAGCTGAAGACAGGAGACACTGTCTGCAGTTGGGGTCTCTTTTCTTCATTCCCCTCTCCCCCAAAATAAAGGGCTGCAGGCCCATTTTAATGAAAAGTTTCGTTTATAAAATGTAAGCCCCTACCCAAGTCCCCAACATTAATCCCAGGCCACCAAACCTTCAAAGTTGGTGGTTCTTCTGGAGTTCCCAAAGCCACACAGGGAACAACAGGGTTGTGAGCCTCCTCAGGCCACACAGCGAAAATTACACATTTCACTGTTTTGAACAAAAGCCAAGAGAGGGGTACGGCTGTTCCCTCTGCAATGATATAATCCAAATACAATTGTAATTGCTACCTCCAAAAACAAGCGGCAAGCCTTTAAACCTAGCCTGTGTGTCCTGACTTCCAACAGGAAGCTTAGTGGTTCTGATCCTAGAATCTCCTTATCTAGAGCAGTCATGTTAATCACTACATGCTTCAGGGTAAATGCTGGTCTCTCCCTACTGGCCTAGGTCTTTGTAGCTGGAAAATAATTCAAGGAACACAAGAAAGATTAGTGAGAAAAAAGACAAACCTGTGGTCTAGTTACTCCAGTGAAACTATCATTTTTAGTATGGGAGCAGTAAATTTAGGAGAGAAAGAACTTTACCAAAAAGTAGGACTCTTGTAGGGTTATCTACATGTGCACTGGGAACAGACCTTGCCAGGGCCAGACTGGGGTGACAAGACTTTCTAACATCTTTAGGTCATCACCCCTCTCCACCCCCCCCCCGACCCCCGCTCTCTCTCACACACACACAGATTTATTGCCTGTTTGTCATGAGGTAGATAACTGGGCAGAACGTCATCCTTGGACCTCCTACTTTTCAGTCACCTTCAATTCAAAATAACCAGTATGCCACTTTGGCACATCAGGGCATCTGTCTCAGATTCCCTCCCTCCTTTGGAGTTTCTGTGACATGTGGCGATTGCCATAGGCCTATTTCCAACTGAAGCGTAGGTCAAATCTAAGCTGCACACTAGGAGAATCTCTTTTGGCCCATGGTTCCTTCTACACCTGTCTTTTCTCTAATAGAAGGTCACTTACTGTGTTGCAATGCCAGAAAAATTTGGTGAGTACTCAGTAAGGGGTCCAATTACCAAGCCTCAACATTCAAGAACTCTGGAGGTTCTATAAGGAAAAAGAGCTTGCACTCCTAGCATTCGTGGGGACAAGCTTAGGGACTTGCCTGAGAAAACCCCCAAAATGTAGTCCTTATAATCAGAGAAGTCAACAACTATATCCAGAGCCCTCTGGAGGGCATGGTGTCTTGATTGCACCTGCCCTTGGCTGAGCCAGACTGGCACAGGGAGCTCTCCAGTGGGTGATGGAGATGTTCCCTGTCTGTGTTTGTTGCCTGCACAGGTTACCTGGCTGTGGTGATTGCAGCTTGTGTGCTGAACTTTCACAGAGCCCTTCCTCTTTTCGTGATCACTGTGGCTGTCATCTTCTTCGTGGGCTGGGATCACTTTATGGCCAAATATGAACATCAAATCGTTGAGTTCCTGTCTCCTGGCAGAAGGCTTCTAAATCACCATTGGTTCTGGCTGAAGTGGTAAATGCACTTGGTTCTCCTATTTCATCTAAAGAAATGTTAGCCTTTACCGACACGCTTCCAGAATTTTGCTCTAAAATTCCACCCTTATTTATGGACTACTGAAGCTGCAAAGAACTCAGGGAATAATCCAGTTTAATTCCTTCATTTTAGAAAGAAAAATCAAGGCCTAGGTAAGGCACTGGTTTATTCTAGACATGTTCAAATGTCCCTACAAATTGCTTTAATTTCATGTGTCCCCAAATTTTAAAGATATTGATATAATAATCTTTTTTCTATGCTAAGGAGAAAACTTTGCTCCTACCTGTCAAGAAACATTTGCTAGAGATACACAACAGTGCAAGGATTTAGTCATTTCAGGGTGGACTTTAGCTCACCTTCTACCTTGGAAACAGAAGAGCATCATGATCAACCTGTAATGTCTGTCCTCGCAGAGGATGGGGTACATTAGCAGTAACACCACCTAATCTCAATACCTGTTCATAAAGAATTGGTTCCTAAGTATAAACCAATTGATATGGCTGGCCAACATGCCTGCAAAGAGCTTCCCTTTTTTGTGACTTATCTCCCCTTTCTTGTCCAAGTTATACAAACTCTCTTTAAACATTATTTATAAAATGGGGACCATAGAACATACTCAATCTTATATTTGCTTTTTCCCCTCTAAGGTTAACCATTTATATAATTTACCTTTTTTTTTTTTTGCTATTATTCGTTTCTGATTAATTTAGGAGAGCTGTTCACTCATTACTCACATTTCTTTATTGATTACTGAAGTCAAATAATCTTTGCTTTCCCCCTTATTTCTCTCCATGCCTTTTATTCATTAAAAACTTAAGTCTTTAAAAATCATTTTAATTTGCAACTGAGATGGAAAAATGCACAAAAATATGTAAAAATAAACTAATATAACAATAATAAAATTTTTGTTTAAAAAATTCATTTTAATGTTGAGTGCCATTAACAAAGAACTTTTTATATAAAAAGAGCCTCCCTGGTGTTGCAAGGGGTTAAGCACATTACTATGAAGCTACTGCAGCCACTGCAGCATACACTCAATCCCCAGCCAGGGAGGTGACCCACATGGTGTGGCAGCCCTCTTCTGTCTTGCCCGTTGCTCCCTTCAGCAGTGTTTGAAAAAATAAATGAACTTTTTGGGCCCTCCCTGGTGGTGCAATGGGTTAAAGCACAGCATAATGAAGCTATCTCAAGTCACTGCAGCATGAGTTCAATCCCTGGCCAGGGAGGTGACCCACATGGCATGGAAGACCTCTCCTAATCCATCTGCTGCTCCCCTAAGCAGTGTATTTCAGTCAATTTGCCTGTTCTGCTCCCCACTCTTTCTCTGGTGAATCCTCTCACCCACCCGCATCTCTGGCCTGTACCTCAGTCCTTGTATGTATAAATAAATAAATCTTAAAAGAAAAAAACTTTTTATAGAACCAGTATGTTAAAATCATAACTCATGGATTATGATCAAATATAATCCTTTGATTTGTTTCAACTATCATCCTTCTGCTTTTATTCAGCAGGTGCTACCTACTCACATTGTATAGAAATACCAAGGTGCTATGACCCTTCTACTTACTCTGAGTTAATCATTTAATGATCATAACACACTTTAGATATTATTATTATTATTAGAATAGTAGGATATTTCATCCTATACAGAATGAGAAATACAAACTTGATCAGACTTTTCCAACTTGCACCTGCCTTCTCCTTTCCTCCTGTACCTACTCCTCTACTGGCCTTGAAACAAAGAAAAGAGCAGAGCTGGGAACACCCAGACTTGGGAAAGTGGCTTCCCACTTGAACAGAAAGCTGACCTCTGTGGAAAGGAGAGTCTGAGAATTCCTAAAGCAGACTCTTATCTATATGACTCAATTTCCTGCAAGTGACCATTCAGGGCTTCACAATCAACACTCTCTGCAAGGTCTCTTCTCCCTCAAGGTGGCATGCTGGGTAGGACACAGGCCCAGATCTCCCCAGTGTGACCCACCTGGAACCCACCATGAGACATCACACATCTTTGATCTAACAAACTGGGCCTGTGCAGTCCCAACCCATCATCCTTTCTGCTTGACTGATTCAAGTCATGAGTCAGCCTTGTCATGCTCCCTATTCTCCCCAAGAAGTCAAAACCCAATTAAAGTCTGACTTAGCTCCCTGAGGCTAAGTGATATCCCCAAAGTGACATCCCTGACAGCAGAGAACACATGTCAAACTCCCTTAAAAGAAATATGGTTAAAAAGAAGACCTTAACCCTCTCCCAAAATAGAGATGACAAGTTCCTGGTCTCAAAGAAATCTCTAGACTTCCCTCTCCAAATATTTTCTCTCTTCTCTGACCCCTCTATATACCCTTGAAGCAGCAAAGAGCCAAGAGTTGTGGAATAAAGAAGACACATTGCTTAAATTTTGCCTATTTTCCTTTATAACCATAACCAAAGAGGGTCTGGTGCAATTTCTAAAAGCACAGCTTCCTGGTGCCAGGGTATATTATCCTCATTAATAGTTTTTGTTACTTTAAGTCTAAGATTTTCAAGTTATGCAACCAATGACTCCCATGCTTCCATTCTTGTCCTTTTAGGGTAATTTGGAGCTCACTGATCCTGGGGGTTATTTTCTGGCTGATCTTTGATACCGCCAAGCTGGGCCAGCAGCAGCTGGTATCATTTGGTGGGCTCATCATGTACCTCGTCCTGGTATTTCTCTTTTCCAAACATCCAACCAAAGTAAGTGAAATGAATCTTTTGGGGGATTTATTTTTTGTCTCATGTATAAACTGCTGAAAATAATAAGTCTGGGAAAATGTAACTATTATTCAATATTTGTCTTACCTTGCTATGACATTGTAAGAGGTCACAGTGCCTGTCAACATTTATAGTACTATTACTTTCTCATTTTTCACTCTTAGTAATTTTCCAATAAAATAACCCACGAGATATGCTTGCAAGTCCTACTCACATTGCCCACTATGTCCCCAGAAAACATGTACACAAAGAAAACATATCCACTCGGTCCAGATTTCCTCAGACCAGTAAATAATCTAATATTTATCATTGGATTTTGCAATTTATCAAATTTCCATTTGCAATTTAGGCTAGTTCACTCCAAAAATTTGTTGTGAAAGTTTTGTTCATATTAAAGTCAATTCTCATCCTGTCAGCCTATTACCCATTACTTTGGCAAGAATTCTAAGACATCAAAGTTTCTGCACATGACTCATAGGAACAAACTCTGGAGGACTTTAGTGACCTAAAGTTTGCCCAAGAAAAAAAGTATTCATCAAAGACCAAAGTCATCTAAAAGGATCCATGACTGGCCCCATTTGGGATAATATTTGCTGTTTTCTATACCTCCAATTCCATATTTCTTTTCAGACCACTCATCTCTGCATCAAAAATGAAACCAGATGATTGTCCATTACTGCAACAATCCTGGGTCTGCATTAGAGTTAATTGGTTCCTTTTACAGTGAAATGAGAGCCCTTCAACAGGATGGAATTTCACTTAATTCACTTACAAATCATCAGATCAACAAACCTTGGGCACACAAATAGGTTGTGTTCTGCCTTTCCATTTTCCAGACATGGGAAATAATTATGTTTCTAATACTTACACCATGACTAGGAAGGTCAGATCCTTCCTCTTTACTGGTCCTTCTAAGAGGACCTTTGTGTCTAAGTTATTTTATGACAATGCTTACAAGCCTGCCCAGTTTAATAAGAGGTAATATAACCCTGAGAGTTTTGGTATGATTGTGTCAAGATATTCTCTGCTCTGGCCTTCTAGAGAAGATGAGGATTGCTGGCAGTATCTGAGAAACTTCTAAGGAAATAAGTGATTCTTTGGGAAATGATGCTGAATTCAGCATTCATTCTCTAATAAAATATTTCTCTTAATCTTTCTATATAGGTTCACTGGAGACCTGTCTTCTGGGGAATTGGGTTACAGTTTCTTCTTGGCCTCTTAATCCTAAGGACTGACCCGGGATTTATGGCTTTTGATTGGCTAGGCAGACAAGTTCAGGTAAGTTTGGTTCAAAAGAGTGCCTTGCTTTAGGTGTATTTGTCTGTGTTCCTTAGCCCAAAGATTAATCCATAGCATAAATTAGACAAATAATTTTGCTGATGCAGAATATGTTAATTTGTCTAGTGTATTAATATCACTGTTGTCTCTCACATATACCACCCATTACATAACTCCCCTATCCCATATTGCCCTCTTCACCCTGCCCAAAGGGTGTCATACTTCTAAGATGGTCCAAAAAAGGGAGCGTGGTCTTTCTTTGTATCTGTTTATAAGCCCCCGGTGGCTTTCTGGAGTCAACTACCACACCTGGCTTGTTCTTTAGCTTTATGGAGTTGGACTGAATGTCAGAAAACTATATGCAGATATTTTTCAAAAATATACCTCTAGAGGGAGGGAAAGAGGCAAAGACTAAGAAAACCAACTTTTCAAGTCTACCCAACAAGTTTGCTGGGCTTTTACCTTCTAGTGAGTCCTAGGTACTGCAGGGATTATAATCACCTGCTTTTTTCCTTTCTTTTACTCAGACATTCTTGGAGTACACTAATGCTGGGGCTTCATTTGTCTTTGGTGAGAAATACACAGACCACTTCTTTGCATTTAAGGTAAAGCCAAACCCCTTGTCTATGTGGTCACTTCCTTTTCAGTAACTACTTGATCTTTGTACATGTTCATCTACCACCTGACTGACCAGAAATCAGGTATACTCTCACTGCACCACCTTTTTCATTTACGGCCTTATCTGAAATCAGTGAACCATAAGCATTTTTACTTTGTTACCAGGGTATGAAGGGAAGCATCTAGAGAAAGCCATAAATTCTCAAATTCTTTTGTAGGCCTTGTAGCACTGCCTGAGATATATATTGAAAATCACATGGGATAACAGTATCTGAAACTTCAGGGAAAGGAGCTATAGATACCCAGCAATGAGTAGGCCTATGGCCACTAATGGCTTCCATTAGTGGATCAGTGGCAGCTCTGCATTTAGAAAATCCCTTAGCCCTGGCTCAACCAGAACTACTGCTCATCCACATCAACCTCTGTTCCTCCAAAGCCCTCATGCTAAACCTTTCCATCTCCCTTCAGCACCGCCCTTATCTAGTCAGGTCTGGAGGCTGACTTTCTGCCAACCAAAGGGACCTTGTTTTACAGGGCAAAGGCAGCCTGACCCTATGCCCAGGCCTAATCCCTCAAACCCCAGGAAGCCCATCCACCTGCAAAGTACCCACCGATTCTTATCAGTGAGGCAGAAAGATCCATTTGACTTTTTCTTTAGCTTTCTTTTCTGTGCTGTGTTCCTACATTCTTAATCATTTTCTCACCTAGGGACTCCAAATTTCCCTCTAAGTTACCCCAGTTTCAGTGAAGTGTTACCTTGAATCTTTTATAAAGTCTGCAAATTTTGTTTTAATTACTGATTTGACACCTTGGTGTTGAGTTAACTAAGCGACCTCTGAGAGGTCATATATATACAAATTGAGATAGAAATAGGCTTATACCATGAGTTCAGAGTTGGAAGAATTAAAGTGACATGGAAGGAACACGTTTCTGCCCACTGTGCCAGTGTCTTGGGCTCCAGCCCACCCTAGGGCAGTGACTAGCATCCTTGCTGCCAAGGCAGCACCCCCTCTGGAACACTGGAGAGAAACGAGCCCCTTGAACACCCTGGGGCTCTCAGCACATCCATTACCATCAACAAAAGCAGATAAGTGAGTAAGCTCTGAATGGCATAAAATGTCTTTTAATATATATTATTAATAGCTTTTTCTAAATTAGATCCTGCACAAATTGTCCTCGGTCATTCTGTGCCTCTGGTGGCAACTTGTTCCTGGATATTCAGCTAAGGAACAGAGGATCGGGCTGGGGAGGGACCCAGACACAGCTCTGTGCGGTTTCTGCAGGGTAGAAACTGCCCCCTGGAGATTCACAGGCTGTTTTGAAAGCACTAAAAAAAAAATCAAGAAAATGCAATCTAGAAAAAGACAACCTTTGTGAACACAGAAGTTAACTAAATAGTACTCATCCAAGGGGAAAAAAGCCAGAGAGCAGGTAAATCATGTATAAGGGCTAAACTAGAGGACGATGGATAAAAATTAGACTTCTGGTGGCAAATATATTGGGTTGTCAGAAAAGTCATGATACATTTTTGCTTGAAAAACAGAAAAAAAAGTCATGATTTTTTTCAACAACCCAATAGCACAGTTTTAAACTTAACTAAACTTAACTTGAACTTAACAGATCTTAAACTCAGATTTTTTTCTATCCCTGGATTCCACCTTCATGAAGTTAACCAATCTTGGAGGATAGAATATAAATTACTCATGGTTTCTGGCATTCTCTGTCCATGCTTCTAATTCCCAACTGTTCAAGTATCAACTTATATAGTTGTCAATTTATAAGGCTGTCCACCTGACACCTATATCATGTCACAAGCCATGTTACTTCAGTTGAAAAAATGTTAATACATCCTAACTTTTTTTCTTTGAAAAGATTAGAACTTACAAATGACATCATTATTTTCTAGATGCGTATACAGCCACTACAAATAACAATGTGTTTCTACTCACCCTTAATCTTGACCCAGTTTACTCTCTAACAATTGCTAGTCCTTATCAGAACATGAGTATCTGCCCTTAGCCTTCAGTTTGTTGATCTAGTTATTACAAATTCTCCCAAGCCTTCATACCTTCTCTGAGAAACTAAAAAAAAATTGATCACAGCACAGAAAAAAAAAAAAAGTTGCTTGCTATGAAATACTCTCATGCTTATCCAGAAAAAATTAGGATAAGACTAACAGGTTTTAGTATTGCTATGAAGTTCAGAGGTCGGAAAGGAGGCAGACAAGAGCCCCGACCTGAAGCCTACCATGACAGCCAGGGCCAAAACTAACCCACAGGCCTTTCTTCTCCCCACCCCCTCCCAGGTGCTGCCAATTGTGATTTTCTTCAGCACAGTCATGTCCATGCTTTACTACCTGGGACTGATGCAATGGATCATCAGGAAGGTACTGAGGCTGGGAAGGATGGGGTGACAGGTGTAGCGACCAAGTCTTAGATGTCTTTTATCCAGGTTTTTCCAAAGGACCTTTCTCTTTTTACCAAGATCCAACAATACCAACCAGATCCAACACTACCACCCAAGTTGTGAGATACAAACTCCAAAATCCTACTTGTAGCTATACAGGGAGTTATGTCTCCGGGACTTTCCACAGGATTTTGACTAGCAACTCATAGAATGTCTTCATGAGACACTTACTTGTTTAGGGAAAGAATTCACTGGACCAGGTCAGACACCTCCAGAGAGAACAGCATTGCTCCTCCCCTTTAGCTATCTGCTCTGTGCCTCACACATAAGCACTGCTTCTCCTCTGGAGGTCACCAAAGTGGGCAGTCCTGGTCTAGGGACCACCACGGAAAAGCAAGAAGCAAAAGCTCCACTGAGCTCCTGAGGTTTACAAGCACATTCAGTTTCTTTAAGTCTGAAAAGTTCATCTCATTCTTGCTGCCCAGCAACGGTCAGCCCTATCCTCATGTGTTAGCTCAGAAAACCTGGTAATTTGTCAGTTATTCGAATGCACATGCAAGCAAGGCAGTGGTATCCAGCTTGTCATAGCTGCAAACTCCTTTGACGACTGTAAGTAAGTAAAATAGAGAACAAAAGCCAGAATACCAACAGAATTTAGAACTTCAGCAAAAGCACAAGGGCCCATCATTTTCTGATTATCCGGTTAAACATTCAGCATTACTTTGCTGAGGCCTGAACAGAAAGAAAGCAGAAATGAAGGAGTCAGGAAATCCCCATCCTGAGGATGGCACCACAGTGTCTGGTCAGGAAGGCCAATATGCACGTGAGACTATAAACAAGTTCATTTGAGATTAGGTAGAAAAGACCAGCCCTCGATTGCATCCTTCCAGTAGCTGGGTGGTCTTTGACAAACAACTGAACAGTTGTATGTCTTGTTTTTCTCTGATAAAATGGACGTAATTATAGGACTTCTTTCATAGGGTTATGATAAGGACTAAATATGTTACAGGGATCAAAGGCTTTAAACAATGTCTATTATGCAGTAAAGCCTGCTGTGACTGTTAGCAACTCTTATAAATAACAATTCAATAAAAATGCATTCCCTTGATGTTCGAAACATACACAATACTCAGACTGACCTTTCATATAGGAGGATCTGATTGGCTGGGCCTGCTCTGTGGACTAGACTAGGTATATTCACACCTAGCACCATGGGTGACCAGCCAACAATTGTTGAAGGCCTCAGCATTTTCTTTCTGTTTAAAGATCTTTTTTTAAAAAAAGATCATACAGAACTGGGGTGTAGGCCAGAGGTGCAGGAGGTGAGAGGATTCACCAGAAACAGACTGGGGTGCAGAACAGGCGGGTCTACTGAAATACACTGCTGAGGGGAGTAGTGGGTGGGCCGGAAGAGGTCTGCCACACCATGTCGATCACCCCCCTGGCAGGGGATCGAACTCATGCCGCAGTGGCAGCAGATAGCTCCGTTGTGCTGTGCTTTAACCTGCTACGCCACCAGGGAGGGCCCTGTTTAAAGATCTTTATCCCTACAAAGAGCTCTCCACTGACTTTGTCCTTTTTCCCATTTTAGGTTGGATGGCTGATGCTTGTTACTTTGGGATCATCTCCTATTGAATCTGTAGTTGCTGCTGGCAATATATTCATTGGACAGGTGAGGTATAATATTAAAAAAGAAAAACACCTGCTGAAATGGATTGTTTCTCCAGAAATTGGAATTTTAAAACAATAACAATGTTATTTATTTTAGTGTAGGGGGAAGAGTGTTAAAATAAGCACCCCTCAGCTTTGATAATGTCCAGTTTTTGGAGAGACCCCTTCTGAGAGTCTCACTACATGCACTGGTGTTAATTTGGGTACTTGAAAATTCATGGACGGGAGGAAAATCTAATCATTTTATCAAAGCACAGAACTTCTTATAGATTTTCAACAAATCTTTTCCAACTTAAATTCTTGAGGTCTCTTCAGAGGCAAGCAGCTTTTCATCTTAAAGGGAGTTAACCACTTACCTTGAAGCTGCAAACATGTAAACAAGCAAACTCATGTTGTGTAGTGCAATGCTTCTGGCAATGAAAGCAAGAAAATTCTCCAACAACCATACAGCCATTTAAATGCCTTTTTCAAATTATCTGGTCAATTGTCTTTTCTGAGTCTGCTAGTGAACAAAAGTATTTTCACCTCCATGAATAAATGGATAAATATTTATTTGCCTGAAGCTTTTTTTACTGAAGAATTATGAACCCAAGGGGTATCCCACAGAATAACACCAAATCTAAGGGGTGAATAACTAAGAAATAGTAATAAGCTCATTCCTGAAGATATCAATAGCTTCAGGCAGTATGGAATCACACACCAAAGAAAGCAAGGATGACTCTTTTCTAGTACAGCTGTCCAAGTAAATTGGATTTGAAGCAAAAATCAAGTCACCCAGAATAACACACAGCTCCAAATCCTAGGCTAACAACGTCTCCAGCCTCGTTGAACCCTCTTGTCGATAAGCCCAGATTGCTATCCTGGAACAAAATCTTAGAGCAGAACCCATGCTTCCTTCCCAAGGAGTTGAAATTATTATAATTATAGTCATGAATCTCCCAGGACTAATTAGGGCACCATCTTGGGTTGATTACTCCTGCCTGCGGGGCACGAGAGTTCTTGTGCTGAGTTCCTATTTAGTCCATAAATTGAAGCTGAACACATTCAATCTTATAGAACAATTAGAAATAATGAGAGGAAAATTGTAAAATTGCATACATACTTCTGTGGTGCTCAATTTGATACTTAATATGCAAAAAGTACAGTTATGGAGAGCCCCACGCTGCAAGCTGCCTATCTCCTTTAAGGTAAAAGCTTTTACAAGTAGATTCTGACTCCTTCCCACCCAAGGAAGAGAAACCTTTCTGATTCTCAGTTAGAAAGTATCTAGGGGCATCTACCCTTGTCATTGCTGGTCATTTTTTATAGCTGTATCTATACCCTGTGGTCGTAGCAGAGATTTTCCCAGACTAGGCTACCGGGTAGCGTTACTTGGCCAGTAATGTTCCAACTTCAGAAAAGTGTAACCAGCCATCAGACTCCAATCCAAAGCTAGGTGGGTCCTCATGTGAATTTGTCTTGTTGAGTTTGCAAAATTTGCACATGACTCTGCATGCACAATGACCTCAAGTTCAAATCATCAGCCATCAACGGGCACTTCACTGGAGCATGCCTCAGAATCACCTGGAACACATGTGAAAACACAAATTGCTGGTGCTGGCCCCAGAACTGCACATTCAATGGGTCTGAGAATTTGCATTTCTAAGGCGTTTCCAGGTGACACCAAAGGAACAGGTCTAAGGGCCATGCTTAGAAATACTGCTTTAGAGGATGGAACTGAGGAGACTGGATGCCCTCCTAAGATTTAATCTCGTGACTCTTTGTTTCCAGACAGAGTCCCCACTGATGGTCCGACCATATTTACCACATATCACCAAATCCGAACTCCACGCCATCATGACAGCAGGGTTCTCTACCATCGCTGGAAGTGTCTTAGGGGCATACATTTCTTTCGGGGTAAGAGTATTTGAAGGTTAATTTATGCAAAATGAAACCCCTCTTTTTTCCTCTATTATTACTTTTCATTTTTCTTTACCACTGCTGCCAGTTCAGGAGGCCACACATGACTCTTCTGCTGTGTGGCTGTCACAGCTTTTTATGTTTTTGATAAAGTGAGCTCAAGGGGTGTCCACTTTTATACCCGCACCCTTCCTGTGGATCATCCAAATATTATGAGGTTATTTGGGCAGGCAATTTAAATATGGAAAACAAAACCAGAAAACAAATAAAAACTATTACGGTACAGACTTTCTAAGCCAAGAGTCAGCAAACCACGGCCCATGGGTTCATCTAGATTTCTCCCTGTTGTGTAACCATCCCAGGCCAGGCAGATTTGTGGTTGATTCCGGCAAAAGGAGAAAGAATCTTTGAGCCTAAGCTGTATCTAACATGCCTTTATTGCTGAAGCAGATTCTGAATGCACAGGCAGGCAGGCAGACAGCAATCAAGCCTCTGAGCTTCTAGCTCCGGAGCTAGGAAGATCCGGAACTCCCCACCCCCCCACCATCCCTCATCCCCCCACCCCCCCCCACCCCCAGTATCCACAATCTCCTGCTTCTCTGTTGGATGTGCTCACAACCCATGCTCTCAGGCTTCTTGGCCCAGGTGTCTACAGTCACAGGCATACATCCCCATGCGCACATCCCCAAGCATTATTTGCCATAACACAGTTATCACATGTGGGTCATGAAGGGTGGGAGAAAAACAGACACAGGCCAGCAGCAGGAGGTGATAAAGAGCCCAAGTTACCAATTTCCTTAAACTCCCCTATTTAATAACTGAAATTTTATTCGAAACCAACTATTCCTATTCATGGCAGTTTCCAAGTAACACATGAGTAGTTGTGTGCCAAAGACTCAAAATTATCTCCTCTCTGATTCTCTGCAACCAAAGTTTTCTGATCCAGAGCAGTTGTTGTTTCTAAACATTAAAATCACCTGAAACTTGTAGCAGTCTAAAAGCCCAGGCCCCAGTACCTGAACATAAAGCTTACAAGTCAGTGGAGAAATGGAGTAAGCCAACAGCATGTACCAGGAGGTCTTACAGATAAGTGGGTTTCATCTAAGGGCTTCATCTGGGCTTCAGAGAGCCAAAAAGTGGGAAGAAAAGGGCGAAGGAAACCTCAGGAAGGGCAGTTTAACCGGATATCCGGTGGGTCCACTCTGCCCCTGTTATAGCAACTCTGCCCACAGCCATGTTCAGTGGGATGGAAAGGGCAGGGACACACTGAGTCTGGGATTCTCAACCTAGAAAAACAAATAAGGTAGTGGGGAGGGAAAGGGGGGAAGTTTAAGCAGACCTGCCTCAAGAAAAACAGAATCAGCTTACAGATTCAGGACTCTGTGTAAATGACTTATTTACACAGGAGGATTTCAGGAGAATAAAAGGGAAATGGAGAGGGGTCTATCCATGCCTGTTCCCCCAGGTTTCCCTCTCTAAATGAACGACATTTTTAAAAGAGAGAGAGAGAGAATTGGAGGGATCTTCTTTAAAATTTCCTGCACCAAAAGATTAATTCTCTTCTGAGAACTGTTACAGGGCACCCCAATGTGAACCGGGCCGCCTGTCTGTGGGGCCTCACCCATGCACTTAAAGTTTAGTTACACTGCAGGCCACACAAAAGGGTCAAAACAGGTTTATTTACAAAAGGGGGAAAAGAAAACAACTGGAATATCTTACCGGCGAGGCTGACTTGGCACTCTAGTAACAAACTAACTGAAAACCATGAGTCACGTGGTCTGGAGAGCCATTTCCCAAGCGAGAAATGCAATGGCGCCCCATTTATCCCAAAATGTCCCAGAATGCCTGCTTAGCTCCACACTTGCACCCTGGCAGTTCTCTCCCTGGTACTGCTGAGAGTTGTAGTTTCCAATCACTGGAGTAGGAGATGGAGTCCAGAAAGCTGGAGTAGGGGTGGAGTCCACAAGACTCTGCAGAGTTCCTTTAGGACATCCTTCCCCTTAACAAAGTGATTAGATTTTGATTTTGTACTTGTCCCAGAGGACACAGTCACTTCACACAAGTTCCTCCTTTCTTCCTTGCACTCTCAAGGTGAATGCCCATCACCTGACTCACTGAGCTCTTCCATGCCTTCAAAATGCTATTTTCTGGCATAGAACAAACTCACACCCACCTTTTTCTTTGTAAAGCCCTGAGCCATTTATTCTGAACACAACAGAAAAACTCACACTTCAGCTGATCTTCTTTCTTCTGAAATCAAGGTCTCGTCTTCCCACTTGTTAACTGCTTCAGTTATGTCAGCACCCGCGTCACTGGCTGTTGCTAAACTCTTCTGGCCTGAGACTGAAACACCTAAAATAACCCTCAAGAATGCCATGAAGATGGAAAATGGGTAAGCAGGACATGTTCACCTAGTTAATGACTATACAAGCTGCAATATGGGCAAGGCGTGTGTTCCATTCCAAAATACAGTGAATTTAATTTCCCAGTAACTACTTAGATTTCACCATATAAATCACATTTCAACACTTAGGGAGAACCTTTCCAAATACCTGAAAGTCAATACATTTTCTTGACTGTGCAATACAGATTCTTAACTTATTGGTAAGCCACACGTGACCATTTCTGGATGTTTCTTTTATACTAGGGCAAAGAAGGTATGATATAGGTATCCTCCCTCTTTCTTTGTTCACTTTATTTTGCCCCATTCAGAAGAAAGTAAAAAGAGTCTCTTGGCCAAGAGATTTAGGATGTTCAAAAGTATTTCATATATAGCAAAATTCCTGACCCAACTTGTTTCTAAGTTTCATCCCTTTTTCGTATGTATCATCACTCTGAGTGCAAAAAAGGAATTTGCCAAAGAACTGATGTGGACAAAGTTAGCAAATGTCTAAGTCTATGCAATCTATTATTTCGGAATACAGACATTTAGGAAAATTGAAAAAAAGGGAAACGCTAAATCAAATTCCAGACAGCCAGGTAGCTCTGAGATTGAAAAAGGGTGAGAATAAGGAAACATACAGAGAGGACAGAGGAAAGCACTCAAAAATGATGGTGACACTTCCATTTCTTAAATGAGGTGATGGATATTCAGACCTTCCCTGAATTGTTAGCTCTTAATCTGTGAATGTTTTATAAATATCCTCTGGTAGTTACTTTTAATTAAATATATTTTAATACCTGTAATATTTTTATTTTGGCCCAAATTTTTATTATAAATGCCTCCTAATTAAAAGAGAGATAATAGACAGCCACAGGCCCATTACCTATACACAACAATAATTAATCCCATCATGATTTAATAGAATTCAGGTGAGTATTTTCACCAAAGTAGGGGCCTGAGACTTTGTCTCTTGATCCAAATGCCACTGCTACACCTGTGGTGTCCATTCTACTGGTGACCTCTTGGTAATCCTGGAATCACTATTTTTTGATAAAGCGACTCAAGGAATCTCATAGAAGCTGCATCCCAGGGAGCTTCCTCGTCCATTCCTCTGGTGGCAAACATCGCTGCAAATCTCATTGCCTTCCTGGCCCTGTTGTCTTTTGTGAATTCAGCCCTGTCCTGGTTTGGGAATATGTTTGACTACCCACAACTGAGTTTTGAGGTATTATTCTATCATATTCCTCCCCATTTTGTTTCTGCCTTTGTTTTAAAATAAAACAGATTTGTGAACAGCATTCCCTGTCTCTAATATACTCTTAGGCAATGTACCCACTTACCATGGACCCCGTCTTCCCCCTGTTTCTGTTTTCCATCACCCTCCTTCCCCTGACACCTGATGTTCTCTCCAAGTTTCTTCAAAGGATGCAATTCCAAACTTTACTCCTACTAGATAAAGGTGGGCAAGAGAATGTGAAGGGATTTCTATGCCTAAAAGAGACAGAGAGGTGGGGCGTGGGAGAACCTAGAAATAATCTCATTAGGAAGCCAAGACAACAGATTTGGAAGCAAGTCACTAATAAATAGCTATTTTTTTTTATTTTTGTAGATAATATGCTCCTACATCTTCATGCCCTTTTCCTTCATGATGGGAGTGGACTGGCAAGACAGCTTTATGGTCGCCAAACTCATAGGTTATAAGACATTCTTCAATGAATTTGTGGCCTATGAGCACCTCTCAAAATTGATCAATTTGAGGAAAAAAGCTGGACCCAAATTTGTGAATGGTGTGCAGCAATATATGTCGGTAAGTAAATATTTTGACTTTCTGATATATTTCTACATCACATACAAACATTCACCAAATAGATGGTACCTCTGTGTTCAGGGCACCATGCCTGACACTCAGAACACATGAGAAAATAAAACAAACCCAAAATCCCAATCTCATGGACCCTTAATATACACAGCACCTCACAACTTTCAATTATGTTGAATTAATCTGTGTGTGTGTGTGTGTGTGTGTGTGTGTGTGTGTGTGTGTGTATAGAGAGAGAGAAACAGCTTATCCTTCCCATTGTGGTCATCTACTTTTGAGCACTTTTGCAAACCCAGAGTCAAATGATGTGGGCTTAGAATCAATCCACAAGTACCTGCCAAATGTCTTCTGTAAGCAAAGTATTGTTTCCTAGCCACAACATAGACCAAGCCTGAGGCTTCTGCCTTTGTGGGGTTCAGGGTCTAATGACCATGAAGGACCCTTCCTGTTTATGGAGTTCTGTGACCTCTGAGAAACTACATGAATAGCCTAAGAAATAGTGAGACACAGTAATTACTTCCCAAGTAGATAAGGGAAGAGAAAGAATTCAGGGCAGTTAACAAAAGCAAAATCCCAGGTCAAAAGTCTGCAAGGAGATGCTTGGGTCTGCTTGACCTTGATGGGATAAAGAAAGTCAAGTGAGGCACTTATTTAGGCCAGACTTGCAACTGAGTCTCCAATTTTCATCTTCCTAAAGAACGTAAGTGTCACACGTAGAAACTCTTAGGAAATGTGAATGTTTCTGACCACCGTTATTCATGGTAACTATCCACTTGGATGTGATGGCCTAGGCACTATTTGACATTGAATGGAAAGGGGAGGAAAAACACACTTCCCAGGCTTCTAATTGAGTCTGCCTACCCGGAACAACACTGTCAGCAACCCCAGCCTCCAAGGCTACACGTGCAGATTTACTCCCACGTATTAACCAATATAACAGTTTGCGCCAGGAGAGGGCTAATCTGTATGTTATAGTCAGGGGCACTTTGACCCACACAGCCGGCACAAACAGTGACTCTGTAGGTCTCCTGCTTCTCAAATGTTTCATTCTTCAACTGACCATGCAATAGAGCTTGGCCACATGTGCTCATTGTTTGGATGCCACCATCAACCGGCTTGTTTCCCTGCCGAAAATAAACAATGGGCTAAATGAGTGAAATGTTTTTCTATTCCCAGCTGCCAGTTGTCAGGAGTAAATAGTTTTGCTAATGAGCACAGCAAGCTCCCAGTTCTGGCAGTACTGAGAGGCTTGTGAACAGGTCATGAAGAGGGTAGGGACAGAACAGTGGAGTTGATTTGGGATGGGGATGAGCCCAGCCAGAAGGACACTTGGAAATATAAGCTCCCTTAGTTTCTGTGACTAGAGCCATGATGAGTAAAGCACTTCTTATTTCCAGACAACCTGATGGGGGTAAATCCCTGAAATCTGTTTGTTAAGCAACAAGTGGTAAGGTAACTCACCATCTCAGCGAGGTACCAAATGACTGAAATATAAAACCTGGGTCCAGTGCAATATTATCCATTAAATTATACATACTATTGGCCCCTACCTAAGAGAGGTGATCAGAAAGTAAATGGAGCAGGGGCCTCCCTGGTGGCATAGGGATTAGGTCTCAGCACTATAAAGCTATCTCCAGCCACTGCAGCAGGAGTTCCATCCCCAGCCAGGGAGCTGACCCACCTGGCGCAGCAAACCTCTCCTGTCTCGCCTGCTGCTCCCCTCAGCAGTGCATTTCAGTAGATTCACCTGTTCTGCTCTCCACTGTGTCTCTGGTGAATCCTCTCCCCCACCTCCACCTCTGGCTGTACCCCAATGCCTGTATGTATAAGTAAATAGAAATAAATCTTAATATATATATACATATATGTAGCACATATATTCCCAGATAGTGTCTGCAACATAGTATTCTGTTTGAGCACATCATAATTTATTTTTTCCAGTCTTTTGTTGATAAACACTGTCCTCTTTTTTTTTTTTTTTTTGCTCTTAAAAGTAATACCTGTACATATGGCACCTTTGCTCATTTGCAAGGAGAGCTGTAGTGTATTATTATTTTCCAAATGTGGTGCACTCTTTTCATCATGTAATTCTTGCACATTTATGGACAAAAGCGAAGTGGAAACTTCCAGCTTCCCTCTCCTCCCATTACAAAACCCTTCATGGCCACATCTCAGACCCCCTGAAGGAGGAGAAAGGAATCTAGAGTGTTTTATACCTTCTCCCTCCTCACAGCCTCTTAATAAGTTTGCCTGGTTTTGAAGCCAATTGAGCTAAATGAAAAGCACTAGAGGGAGCAGGAGCAAGCATGAGCTTTTCCAGATCCAACAGACTGCTCAAATACTTGGAATTTTTTCCTGCCTGCTATATACAGGCTAACTGAAAGTATCAACTAGGATTTCTCAGAAACTCTGAAAGAGAAGGGGGGCTTTAGAGTCAGAAAAAAAAATGAACTCTTGAGTCTTCAATATAAGTTTAGCAAATAAAAAAAAAGCACTACCTTTGAATTTAGTGTTGGCTTAGTTTTTTCTTTGAACTGTATCATGACTTTTTTAGAATTTTGGAAAAGAAAATGATTCCTTCACTCCTGCAGTGCTTTGCCAAATTAGCTGTGACCCCAGGAAACAACAAAGCCCAGTGAATCTGGGGAGTCTCCCATAGTAGTCAGTCAACCTGAGAAAGAGCGGTATCTGGGCACCACAAACTGACCATCAGAATAAAGGAGGACGCTCACACTTGTGTATACCCAAGTTCCACCTTCTCACTGGACTGTCAAAGGACTAGCTATTGCCTACTTCATACAAGCATCCTGTGGGATGGCCAGGCCTGAGGAACAAGGGAAGGCAAGCACACAGACAAATCAATTACAAATAAATCAATACAAAAAAGCAAGCCAGCACATACCACAGCAGAGCAAAAAGAATTCCTGCAATGTCTGTGAGTCACTTTTACTAATATAATTTCTTCTAAATGATATGCCTTTTACTAAAGTACAGTTTCATATAACAAAAAGGCCCAGTTTAGGTATAGAGTTTTGACACAATGTCAACAAGCCCTTTTCCCCAACCTCCCATTCCCAGGCAGCCAATGATGTTTCTTTCACTGTACATCACTTTTGCTTATTCCAAAAATTTCATATAAACTTTGTTGCATGTATTAGTTATTTTTCTCTTATTGCAAAGTAATATTCTACTTTATGGATATCTACAATGTGTTTCTCTATTTGCCTATTGAAGGGCATTTGTGTTTATTTTGTTTATATTGTGTTTATTAAAAGTGCTGTAAGTGTTCATGTTTAGTCTTGTGAGCATATGTTTCTACCTCTCCTGAGAAAATTCGTAGGAATGAGATTGCTGGGTCATATAGATAATATATGTGAACTTGATAAGAAACATCCAAGTATGTTTATATCAGGTTATGTCAGTTTAAATACCCCCAACAAAATATGAGAGCTCCAATTTTTGTTTCATATCCTTACCAACCCTTAGTATTATTCATCTTTTCAAGACATTTTGTTGGACATGTAGTGGTAGCTACATGTTTGAACTTGCCTGTCCCCGGTGACTAATGAGTCCTGTGTGCTTACTGGCCATTTGCTTCTCTTTTGTCAAGCATTCAAAACTATCTGGACACATGTTTTCTTACAGGGTCATAATAATCCCTTTTGCATTTTTAATTTTTTAAAAGGATTTACTTTTATTTATACATATAAGAACTGGAGTGTAGGCCAGAGGGGCGAGGAGGTAAGAGGATTCCCCAGAGCCAGAGAGGGGCGCAGAACAGACAGATCTACTGAAATACACTGCTGAGGGGAGCGGCAAGTGGACAAGAGAGGTCTGCTGTGCCATGTGAGTCAGTTTCCTGGCCAGGGATGGAACTCATGGTGATAGCTTGATAGTGCTGAGACTTAACCCCCTTCACTCCCAGGGAGGCCCCCCTTTATTAATTTTTAATAAGTTCTGTATTGGATAAATGTCATATAAGTATCTCCTGAACCAGTTCTCTATCTTCAGCAGCTGTTTGACACATTATAGGTGACCAAGTCATGTTAAATACTAGATATCATTGAGCAGATTGTAACATCTGCAGAAGTCATAACTCTCCTTGTAAAGTCTCTGATGCACACAGCACCTTTCCCCCCCTCAGTTCAGGGAAAGATGAAAAAAAAGTCTAAAAAACAACAGGTGTTTGCCCCTATGCATAATGCATTTATTTGTCTAAGTTGATTATGTAGCCAAAATAGAAACCCAGTTAGGGTGTGAGATTTACTAAGCTGGATCACAGCAAGGATACATCTGTGTGTTTATGCTTACTTACAGATTCGTTCTGAGACAATTGCCACTTACGCTCTCTGTGGCTTTGCCAATTTTGGTTCCCTAGGAATAGTGATCGGCGGACTCAGTAAGTGAAAAGAATATTCTTCATCAGCTGATATGATGTAAACATGCTGCAGATCTCCATCTTGTTCTGGAATGTTATTCATGTCAGGGGGAAAAAAAGGTCCTGCAGTCCTTTGCTGCCTATATTTTATTCCTGCTCTGCCAGATAGTTTTCCTATGCCATCTTGAGGAAGAATGTCCCCAGCTATCTTGAGGAAGAATTTGCTCAAACATACAGGTACTTCTGTACCCAGGGATGACACATAGATGTATGTTACCAACTATAGTAGATGTACTTTGGGCAGCCAGAAAATGAGTCCGAGGTGCAATGGAAAGTCAGTAGAAATGTGCCAATTAATTTGTGATATCTATCATGGCATAGGAGTGGATGGTAACAGGTGAGTTGCAGTATATAACTTCCCTCGCAACCTACTTAACAGACAATGCCCTCAACATATTATGAGTCCTATAGAGGAAACTTAAATATTGTTTTTCCTGTACAGAATGGAAACCTCTGGGTATTTTGATAAGGGAAACTTCTTCCTTTTTTCCCACACCAGAGAACTGTTTGGAAAGTAGAATTTACCAAGTTCTTGGATCGTGAATTAACTACCCAGCTAAGTTTAAAATCTTTTCAATTCCGCTGGCCTTGGCCCCTGATCAAGTCTCAAAGACTAGAATTTCAAATTCCAGCCTCAACATTAACCTTGCTTCTGTCTCCTAGCATCCATGGCTCCTTCCAGAAAGTGTGACATCTCCTCTGGGGCATTGAGAGCTTTGATTGCGGGAACCATTGCCTGTTTCATGACAGCCTGCATTGCAGGTACTGCATGCTGTCTTTTGTGTCCTGTGTCCCCACACCCAAAGGATAGCAGCTTCCAGGGGTCAGTTCTTCGGTGCTCATGAGCTGCTACAGAAAGCTGAAAGGCAGAGCTGCAGCTGAACTCATTACAGAGGGAAATGTGTGGAGCACAGCAGAGAAGCTAAGAACAGTGGGAGAGATTGGTAACTTCATTAATTAATAAAATAAATGGCACTCTATTCCATTTCTAGGCATGCTGTCAGGCACTCCTGCAGATATCAATTGCCAGCATATTTTAGAGAATGCCTTCAACTCCTCTTTACCTAGAAATATAACCAACATGGTGTCCTGTTGTCAAAGTCTACTGAGCAGGTGTGTATTTTATAAATTCTTCATTATAAATAAACAAATCAGACCTAAAGACCCTGTCGACTTCTGTTTTATAACTGCTTAATGCTTGATTTAAAAATAAGAACTTATGTGTCCATTCTCACCACCATTCATTAAGACTGTTCTCAGCTAAGACTAGGAACTCTTATTAGTTAGTGTTACTCAAGTATTTAATGTCCCCTTGCTGTGCCTGTTAGGCACTTTGTATGAATCAACTTGTTTGCAGCTCTATAAGTTAGCTGCCACTGCCTTTTTAAAGCATTTTATTCAATCAGGGTTTGGAAAAGCTATGTCACTTACCCAAGGAAAATGAAAATAAGCACAACAGAGATTCAAAAAGCAGTTCTTTCCACCCACACACCACATACCTTTGCCTGGTATCCAAGTCCTAGTCACTAAATACTGCCTCCCTTTCAAGAGGATCAAGCAACATGATGATGGCAATGGGTTATGGTATATTTGGGTCCACCAGTGATCCACAGCAGACACCTTAACTCTATAAAGTTTATGTTTGCAAAATCAATATCCCTACTCTATCTACCCTCCTGAAGGTGTGTTTTATAAGGATTAATTGTAGTTTGTCTACCCTGGAGTATGTAAGGAGAGTCTTGAGCCAAGCAGGATTTGAAACTCAGTACCAGTTACCTGGTGGGGTCATCCTGAACCAACCTTAACCAGAACACGAGGGAGGCAATCAGCTGCCTGCCCTCTGCTGATTCTAGTATGCCATCTTCTGTTCATCTGTTTCTATTGTCTAAGGCCTCACTAACTGTTGCCTTCCCCTTTTCACCAGCACTGTTGTCAGGGGTCCTGGTGAGGTCATCCCTGGAGGAAACCACAGCCTGTTCACACTGAAAGGCTGCTGCACATTATTGAATCCAGCAACGCTCAACTGCAGTTGGATCCCTACTGCATTTTAAGCCCAGCTACTTGTCCAACAGAACCCTAAGTACAGCTGCTTTGGGGAGGAAAAAAGGCCATTCTCCACAAATGATGCTTCGACCATGGGATCAACTTTGATTAGAAGAAGGAAAACAGGAATAACTACATCACATCTACAGAATCTTCTTCCTCCCCAACCTCTTTCCCTCAGATAACTAATGTACTGTCTCAAAATGAGTTGTCTCTGGCCCCAAGAATGTTTTTCTAAGGCAGTATGAATTTCAGGATATTTAACCATGTTTTATATACACACACACACACACACACACACTCACTCACACATATGCATAATGGATCACAACTGGGCTGGAACTCAGCCACACCTACTTAGTATGAGTCTCTGAGCAGTCTAGGTAAGATGAGGTCACTCTGCATTCACCCTGGCTGACCTGAAATAGCCTGAACTTGACTCTTACACAGACGAGGACAATCACCCATCACCCACTCATTGCCTTCCCTCATTAGTTCTGCAAAAGTCCTTCAGGAGAGCAATTATGCCATTCCAAATTCAGGTTTTAAATCTCTTTGTGTTTATGGAGTTATACTGCTCAACGTAAGTTAAACTATACTTCACTAACAACAACCAAAAAAACATTGGCAGCTTTCTATTTTGTGCTCACGTTGTTTAGTGAAGGTCAGCTTTGGCTGTCCTCCATGTTGTCTTCATTTCCTGGAAAGCAGGCTTACAGTGCAGCCCCAAAGTTGGTGCTTGGGAGAGGCCAAAGAAAGGTGGGAAGCCACATAACTCTTAAAACTTCTGGTAGGAAATGAAGCCCTTCATTTCCACTTCATTCCATTATCTAAAGCCAGAGATAGGGCAAGCATGATGGCGATGGCCATGAATGAACAATCCTGTCATAACACGGGCGTGAATAGTATCCAGGTAGGCACAACTTAAGCCTATTTATGTTCCAGTTTCCTATTGATGAAACTGGGAAAATGTATTCCTGTAGAGTCAAAAGGCCACTCGGGGACCATTTCAGGAGGAAAAATAAGTCCTGATCAAGCTTTAATAACTTTCCATTGATAGTTCCACTTGCCAGGGCAGTGTCAGAATCAAACTTCCTGAATGGGTATCAGACAAGGACTTTAATGTGTCTTAGAAGAAAATTCCAGAATCAAAGGTAGAATGTTCTCTAATGAAATGTTATCACAAATTATCCTAACAGCACAAAAAGCACATTGTGTAAAACAATGCAAACCCTATGACTGAATCAAAAGGTAATCCATATGAAGGAATAAGTGTGAAAAATCTTTTGGAATATCTTCAGTAATTTATTTTAAGAACTGTTTTATTTATATTTCCTTTTGTTCATGCATAAGAGTACATTTTTATTCAACATGTAGCTGATTTTTTGTGTGATGTTGGTAGTGGTGGAGGAGGAAGCTAAATGCCCAAGGGACATTAGAGCACAATATAAAAAAATTTCAAGTACTTGATTACTTGTGTCAAAATTTTCTGGGAACTCAATGTGATCTTTCAGTATCTAGACTTTATTTTAGAAAAATGTTTACCTGTCTTTCCCTCTCTTCTCTATGTTGTGATGTCAGCCTTCAGAAAAGCCTATGGAGTGCTGGGGTGCCAAATATCTGTAGGTTGATTCTTTTCTGTTTCCCCAGCTACCTGTTTTTAATCTCTTTTTTTCTCCTAACTCTTCACAATTTTCAACCATTTTTTAAAAAGCTTTATTTATTTATGCATACAGAACTGGGGTACAAGCCAGAGGTGCAGGGGCACTGAGAGGCTACCCCAGAGACAGAGCACAGAGCACAGCAGGCAGATTGAGGAAGTACACTACTGAGAGGAGCAGTGGGAGAGTCAAGAGAGGTCTGACACACCATGTGGGTCACCTCCGGGGCCGGGGATCGAACTTGCACTGAAGCGGCTGCAGCTAGCTTGCAGTGCTGTGTCCTAACCCGTTGCGCCACCAGGGAGGGACTTTCAATCATTTTATACCCAAGAATCTCTTTCTAAGAAAATCTCTGCTGCTTCTCTGGCCAACTAATTTTCAAATTTTGCTGTTGTCAGACTCGTTCTTGGATGTCTATAGCACCTCACTTTAGTTGTTCAAGACAAACAATATAGTCATGCATTATATACTGACACTTCTTTCAGCAATGGATCACATAGATGCAGTGGTACCAATGGGCTGTATGTATCATATAAGCTAGGTGTGTGGTAGGCTATGCCATCTAAGTCTGTGTAATTACATTCTCGGTCGTTCACACAATGACAACATTACCTAACAATGCATCTCTCAGAATGTACCCCATTTTTTAAACAATGCATGACTATGCTTACTCTTTTTTTTAATTGTTTTCTTTCTTCTTTTCAAATTACAAAAATAACTATTTGTGATAAAAGTGACCACTTCAAATACACACACACTCTCATCTTTCTCCCTACCTGTTCACCTCCTATCACACTATCAAAATCCTGAGGTTACTATTATTAAATAACTACTATGCACACCAGTCTTCAAATATGCATTAGAATGTGAGGGATTTTGTGTTTGTACACAAATACAATGAGTCTATTTACCTATCACCTTCAACTTCTTTTCACTAGGCAATATACTTGGATATTCCTACAAGTCATTATAATAGCTCTAGCTCTATCCTTCCCTACACACACACATACATGTGCATGGTATGCATATGTGTATGTATAACTCTACATAAATGAGGTACTATATATGTTGGGGGAGGGAGGGAGGGGGAGACATTCTATTTTCTTGCTACTTGCCTTCTCCTCCCCTACCTCGGTCTACCCCACTCCAAAGAATCTGATATATAGCTCTTTATCTTTTTTTCATTTTCATGTCATATTTATAAACATAACCATGTAACAAGGATTGGGATGATAGTTATGTAATACTGAAATTATTCACATTTCTATGCAGTTTACTTTTCTTCTATAACAATACTTTGTGGATTATCAAGTTCACTGGTAGAACTTTACCTTTTTTACAGCTTTCATAATAGCCTATGGTGAATTTTGCATATGTATTATTAAACACTCTTCTAAGAACAAGAACTCACTTTGATTCCAGGTTTGGATTTTGGTCTTGATTTAGGCTTTATTTTTTGTTTAGGGTTTGTTTTTTGCTATGTGTGTGTGCAGGGGGAAGGGTTGTTTGTTTTTTAACAGCACTTATTTTTTCTTAATATACTGCTGCTCTTATTTCCTATAACAGTGCTATCTGATAGATGTATATTGCAAGTGACAAGTAATTTAAACTTTTCTAGTAATTACATTAAAAAGGAAAAAAACTGATGTTAATTTTAATAACATACTAACCCAACATATCCAAGGTAAAGTAATCTCAATGAGCTATTTCACATTCTTTTTATTAAACAAATCTAAAAACATAGCATATATTTTATACTTAGAGCATCTCTTAATTGAGACACTTAATTTTCACCAGCAATACATTATCAACATTTAGATTTCATAAAATTTATATTTGAAAAGTAAATTGATATGCCCAGTTTATTCCAAACATAATTAAAAGTCTTACAATAACCGAAATGATATCACTTTTTAATAAAAACATCTAGTTCCTCAGCTTTATATATGAATGTGTTCCATATTTCAGACACTGGTGGCTACAGAATTGGGCAGTACAATTCTGTAGGATGACTTCTTAGGTGAATTGAAATGTGTGTCTATATTGGATATTAATATATATCACAGCCTGTTTCTTAGAGAAACACATCTTAATTTTCACCTGCTCTGTAATCTTTCTGATATTTTTGTTCATCTACCTCCCTGTGTGTGACATTCCTTTTTAAATGCAACCTGTTTACTTAAGTCTGAGTCTCATTCTTCTTTTGATATTGCCCATCCTTGAGCTGAAAAAAAAGGTAGTATTCTAAGACATATGATGAGAGGAGACTTGAAGAGTACAGACCATACAAATGAACTGCTGAGCATAATGGACTTAATAACTCCAGAAACCTTACCAAACCCCCATGAGTATGTGAGTAAGTCTGGGTTGGCTGACGTTTCCCTCCTCCAATGAAACCAATAATGGAAGGTCTGGTGCAAGCTGATGCCTTCACTTTTCATTAGCAGACAAAGAAGCCAGAGAGTTGTCTGTTCCCTACAGTTTTCTGTAGTCTTAGCGGGATATTTACATATTACTTTCGGTTCTTTTCACTTAGCAATCTACCTTAGACATTCCTATTGTAATTATATCTAATCTTTAGAAGGACGATCTTAAAAGACCCACTGATAGTTTTTTTAGCTAGAAAATTTGCGGTCTCCTGTGTGTTTGTTCAACTGTTTGAGGCCACTTGAAACTGACACTATGTACCCTGGTCTTTTTTCAAGCCAAGGCTGTAGCATGTATTCTGAAGAATCTGCACTTTGTCCAGATTGCTCATGAAATGTGATGTCACTTGCCTTCCCTCTGAGTCTACATTCATACTGGTACAGTTTTCATAATCAAAAAGTCCTTTTTCATACAAGTCCTATAGGTACAGCTATGAGTCTTCTCTAATTTCAATGAAGATGGAAGCTTGCTTTATTGCTTCTTATTCTTATTATTTTTCATTGGTTAGTAAAAGGGGAGAGGAGAAACGGCACTTCTCTCCTCAAAACTGAAACTATAGTTATAAACAAATTCTCTAGCTCTGCAGGCCTTAGGGTTTCAGCCAAGAATAGATTGGACTTGTGGTATACAGAGAATTTTCTTTGAATGTTTTCCCATTGGTAAAATCAGCACATCCAAGCAGTTAGGTCTGAGTGAGAAGGTCTCTGTAACTAAAGACTGCTAACATGCATTCATTTTGCAAATGTTCCTACCTAATTGCTTTTATAGTCCTGTCATTTAATTAAGTTGGTGGACCACTGAGAAAAGCCTAAGACATACAATGCCCAGTGAGGCTGACTCCCAATTACAGAACAATTCTAAAATCAAGCATGCCTACAAAGAAAGTATTGAAGGACACAGTGTGCCAGGAAGGCTTAAACTACCCTGAATGTGCTAGAGGGGGAGAGGAAGGCAATCATTCACATTTAAACAGGTCGGCGCACAGGACTCAAGAAAGAAC